TGATCACTGGGGCTTCTTGAGACTCTTCCTTCTCCAGTATAAGGCTTCTATTCAAAGAACGTCTTTGTACTGTACAAATACTTCCTTAGGCTTTTGACAGGCAGTCAATATTAGAGATGCTTTCAATTCATATAATATAGCTGCAATGGTATGTAAGTTACTGTATGACTTGAAAGCTTCATTGCTAGTGGAGTAGTCACGCTTGCTTGAGTAGGAAAGAAGGGTACAGGTACTGTATGTACATGCAGTGACAACCTCTGCAACCTCACCCTTGTGCTTTTCTTTCTTTGTATATGCGCGTAAGGACAACTCACCAAATATTATGTTAGATGGACACCTGTTGCAGTAGGAGATAATCAAGCAGGGAGCTGCCATGGAAAGTCAGCTTGATGTCTAATTGCCATGTTGAGACTCACATACTGTACTGTGGCTTCCACGCAAGCTTGGTTGGCAATGAGGCACATTCTTATCAAAGTCAACAATGTTGGCGGGGAGAGCCTTTGTAAATGAGAGATAATGGTTGTGCAAGATACTGACACTGTGACAACAATTGATGCAACAGTGGAAGATAATGATAGAGAGAGTGAGAATCAAGTCATTCACCTTATATATGATGCAAGTGCAATCAGGCTTGGTTGGTGGTCCGGCAATGTGGCAAGGTCTGTGCAACCTTGACCCTCTCCAATGGTACATGAGGCCGAGTCTCAGAGTGGGTGTACAAGATACCATCAATGAGGTTCCATCTGCTGGCTATAAAGTCTCCCTTCCATACCTTTCTGGACTCATTGATGATTTTCAATGCTTTCTTCTTTTGCCACCCACTTTTCCAATCCTCCACTCAATTATTCAGGCTATGCTCTCTATCTCAATTCGGGCGCCTGCAAAGTATGCAAGGGGCGGATGGTGGCTTTCATGGTACAAGTGAGATGGGAGCAAGGATGGAGCAAGGTAATGAAGATTGGGTCCATGAGTGGTGGTCAGATCCTGGGGCGTGATTTAACAAGCCCAAATACCAACATATGCATTATAATCTCAGGGTTGTAATTGTGATGCAGTGGCTTTTGCTGCTCATTTGGTTGATTGATCTTACTTGGTATTGAGGTCCATTACAATGATGTAGCTGTTGGAGAAGCCTGAGACAGTGACAAGAGCCTGTTGGGGGATGCCCGGGACATGGTCTTGGAACCACAAGTCCTGTACAGAGGCTCCTGGAAAATGATGGTAGGGGGAACAGGCACAAACCTCATCCCAATGCAGGCAATCAATGTGAAATGCTCGCTAGAGCTGGGCACTGCCTGGCCGTTGCGAGCATGGCGTTGAGGGGCAACCCAGCGTGTCTTGCAGGAGCTGGCGAGCTCAAAACCTGCTTTGTCCATATTGTAAATGCAGTTGCTTCTATATTGTCCCTTATTGTAAATATCCTTGACCTGTACATGCAATGAGCTGAGCTCAGAGGTCTGCCATGTACTTGAAAGTCTGTAGAATCCTTCACAGTTCTCTTCTGTATTGCCTTGGAGCCGCCCAAGCTCACTATAACCATGAAAGTGAGACGCAAGTCAATCCTTATTTCACCCGATGAAGCAGTCACTCCAATAAATGCCAACTTTGTGCCCATTAAGCCTCCCTGCTAGCTCTTTGACATGACCCGGGGTAAGAAGAGTACCCTTGCTGGCATATTCATCGATCTTTCGGATCAATTGCTCCTCCTGGACTTCACTGAGGGTGTGGCAAGCGCCGTCTGAGAAAACTCAATGAGAAAACCTTATGCTGTTGTCAAACCCATGCTAAGTTGATGAGAGGAACCCTTTGAAATCTACACACAAATCTGCTTCTCTCACCGGTCATTTTTTTTGTTGCCCCTATATGCATTGTTCAGTCATTGGCTCACTGTCAGCTTGGGTGCCACAAATGGCATGCACCTGTTTTTTTGAGCATCATTAACTGTATGTGTGAGGAGTTGACCCCAAAAAACCGCCCTGCTTACTCACATTTGTTGCTTCAAATTTTTGTTTGGGGCTGAGTATACCTCTGAGCGTACTCAACCGTCCCTCCAAGTCTCTAAGGTGGATGTGCCCTCTGTCATTTACAACTATCTTCCAAATCTATGGACTGTGTTGACCTGGGGACCAAACAATGCGGCCGTGGACTTGCAGTGGTTCTGCATCAGGTATTCTGCCCACTTTTCTCCTCTTTTTTGCAACTTTTTTACCAGCCCCTCCAATCACTTTAGACTTGTCCATAATCCAAACCGGCCAACATCTCTCCCATCATGAAATCATGCATAAACACGCCCTTCAGCCCTCATTTCTCCTCACCCACCCACCCTTTTTGTCCCTGACAGCGCCATCCACCTCTCTTGCCACTCACCATCCAGCAAACCCACTCACACTGAACCTCTTACTATCGCAGCTCATCCAACCAGTCCACAAAGTACCCCCTTCCAAGCCTGTCCTGTAGACTGTTGCGTCTCAAATATTCTGTTCTGCAATACTGCAGCAGGGCAAACATTGTCTGTGTGGACATCAACACTTTACATCAGCTCAAGAGAAATCCTCAGAAGGAGGAATCAATGGAAAACTTTTTCAGATGTGCTGACGCTCTGCTGCTGTGGATAGGTAGCCTTGTGGAGAGCCTCTGGTCAAGATGGTTGAGATGTTGACAGGTGATAGTCAAGGTCAGTAGTCACTTCTTCTTGTGTGTGGAGCTGTTGCCAATGTCCCTTCTACCTAGAAGCATATCACTTTCAGTAGCATATAAGTTATTACAACAGATCTCTGGCATTCACTTGAAGAGTAATTTGGTCTGACAGCGGGTGTGATGCTCTTCTGATTGAGGGGAAGCTGAGTCATCAATGGGGAAAAGCCCAATTTTTCTTAGGTAAGTCTCTCTGCACCAAAGACAATCTTTTCTGACATATCATTAGGCCTATATCTCCCATTGCATTGCTTCAATTCACTCAACAAAGCCACTTCAATCCAGCTACCCCTGAGACCTTAATGACACTGTTCTCAAATGTCTAAACACCATTATTGTTCCCACCTGCTGCCCTACACCCTCCCACTGTTACTGTGACAACTGAATCCCGTGAGTAGCTGACACATGAATCAGAGATAATGAAATAAGGTCAGGCAAGAGGTCAGACAAAGATAGATCATAGGGATGGGTGTCACGGCCAAGCTGGGACGCAGCAGGGGGGAGGACTGGAAAAGGTGATTTTGGAGGGGAAAAGACCTTTTTGGTATTATTGCATAGAGAAAGAGTAGACAATGAGATATGAATGAGTATGTAAACCGCACATCCTTCAGCCATCCACACAAATCAGCGCCAAAGCCACTTCAGGGAATTACTATGTGTGACAAATCTTCCTGCCTCCCTCTTGTCTCCTGCTACGCCGACCCGTTGGGGAAGGAGATGAGGGCAGCCAATCATAGCCGGGCTTGTCCAGGTGAGTCTGGTGGAACAACCAGACACGGGGGTTGGTTGGCGGCAACTGAGAAGCAGGGACCCATGAGCAGTGATCATATCCATCATTGGCGTGCACCTGGAAGTAATAACAAAGCCCGCTGGCACGATCCGCAGCAGAGTCCACAATGACAGCAGCTGGGGAAGGGTGGGGTGTGGGGGGAGGGGAAGGGACGGGGGACAAAGAGGGAAGGAGGGGAGAAGGAGGAGGAACGACAGGCAACGAAGAGGGAAGGAGAGGAGAAGGAGGGTATGTAGAAAGTGCAGGAGCATGGAAGCAATAAGGCTCCTACAGACTGACATGAAACACCGGGTGTACACGTGAGAACTTTTTGGGCAACCAAAGCTTGTAGGCATTACGGCTGATGATGGACACAATGAGGAGAGGTCCCAGCATCACATCCTCGAGTTTGCCAGAAGGGCAGGAGGACAAGAGGTATGGGCTTCTTGACAGTAATGCCCACCCCCTATGCTCTTTCATGCCCATGTTCTTCCTAACTCCTCCTGATACACTTTGACATCTCACAATGAATTCCTTTGAGAGTACATTGTGTGCAGTCATGAAGTCACCACCAATATGACATATCACTTTTGCTTGCTCAAATCTCTATATGAACCCCCTGCCCCCTGGGAACAGGGACAGGTACATCACTAGTATTGTTGATGGCAATATGGTAGAGAAGAGTAATAGGTGATCCTGTGTGGTGTGATCAGTCAGATCACTAAGGGGCCAGTGGGGGTTTATTCTAAGCCTTGATACTCATAGCCCACATGTGTGGTGAGCTGGCCTGCTCTGGGGGGACAGCTGAAGTTATTACCACATGTAATGGAGGGTTGAGTCCAAGTACGTGAAGAGGAGTACACATCAAGGAGAGTTGTAGAGGCTAGAGAAGAAGAGGAGGGGAGAGAAGAGAGTCAAAAGAGTTTGTGAATGAAGTCTTTGTCCCAACACCCAGCTTTTCTTATATACATAAATGAGTGACACAACAATAGGCGGAGCGACTATGTGATATGACTATGGCAAGAAGCAAATAAGGGTACAAGTCAACCAGGGAAACATACAAAAAGGCTAAGGACAACAAGAAAAAGGAGACGGGTGGAAACAGGTAAGGGTAGCGGATATGGGTGTGTCAATGTGCGTTGGACAGCCTTACTACAAGAGAGGAAGAGAACGAGAACAAGTGATGGTAGCGAGGACAAAGACAAGCAAAGCTAAAGGGGTCCATGGGGTGTGCAGGCGCCTAGCACGCTACATCACCCCCCGCCACAAGAAAGGGCTGTCAACCCGTTCAGAAACAGCCTTGGAACCAAAGAGAGAGCATCTGCGGGGTCACAGGCCTGGGAGAGCTGGGGCGGAGGCGCTTGGCCCACATGTTTTTTTTTGCCGTAGCTTCTTGAGGCGTCATGGGCTGGTCCCACTGCTTGAAGTAGTACGGCCAGCCTTCAAGAAGGGGATCAAAGAAAACGTATTGGCACCTGCAACCCTTGCAAGTCTTGACTGCAAGTTGGGCAAATTGGAGACCCAAGTAGGAGGCGTATCAGCGAATGCCTTGGGGAGCAGGAGGAGGAGGAGGGTTGTGGAACACCTCAGAGCGTGCAACGGTAGTGGGGAGTGGAGAGGTGTCAGTCTCATAGGCGGAACCAAAGAGGGTACAAGGGAAGTTTTTGGAGGAGGTGTTGGACATGGCAGGGCTGCCAGTGGGGAGGAGAGTGTTGTCAAAGGTTTTGAAGAAAAGGAACATGTTGTGAGTGTGTTTGTGTCTCAAGAGTGTTGAAAAGGTGTTTGTGTGGGCATGTGGATGTGTGTGTGTGGGTGATAGAGAAGCATTTCTATATGCGGGAAGAGGAGAGGCGTGCTGGAAGCTTGGCAGAAAAGGTGGAGTTCTTCTTATCGTTCTCAAGAGAACAATAGCGTTTTTACTCAGATGTATTTTTGGGACGCTTTTTCAATTTTTTTGTTTGTGTGAAGAACAATAAGGAGCACGGATTTGGCTGCATGCGGAGCTGTGCCTTTTGTGGAGGAACAGGAATGCGATCAAGGAAGAACAATGGGAGAGGGAGTTTCTTGGGAGGGAGGGTAATGGTATTGTTGGGAAATGAGGTAGGTTGTTTGGAGAGGACTGTTTTTCTTTTGTTTTGTTTTTGGAGGAGAGGTAGAGGAGAGCTCCTGTTTGGAGGAAGGGTAGAGGGCTTTGCTGCCCCTATAATGGACCTAATTACCAAGTAAGATCAATTAACCAAATGTGCAGCAAAAGCCACTGCATCACAATCCCAACCCTGGAATCATAGTGCATATGTTGGTTTGGACTTATTAACTCATGCCCCAGGATCTGACCACTGGATCCTTACAGCCCCAGCCGTGGTTCGACTCATGGGGAGGTTTGTAGGTGTGTTTGATAGGGACAAAGGGGAAGGTATCCGTAGCTTTGGAGTAATACACACCGGCTTGGCACTGCTTGGATGATGTAAGGACTGGGTGTGCAGTCCTTCATGTGTCAATGGTGTTCTTGTCTTGAGAAGCAAACAATACCCCTTGTGCATGTAAATCCTGGACAGTGTCAATATATGTATGAGAAGCACACTAAAGAGGAAGAAAGGGACAAAGGACAGAGAAGTAGAGGGCAAGTGAAGAGAAATGGATAAAGAAAGAAAGGGCAAGGCTCACCTGGACAGTGCCCGTCAATATATGTACAAGAAGCACACCAAAGAGGAAGAAAGGGACACTGGCCAGAATCAGTCAAGATGAACACCGGAAACGAGACTGGATACTCACAGGAACAGAGAAGTGGAGGGCAAGTGGAGAAGAGAAATGGATAAAGACCCAACGAAGATTCTATGCGCCCAAGGTCTCTGTCCCTGTGCAAGAGCAGTTGCGTAACAAAAAACACAAGCCAATATGCCAAAAGGCCAAAAGTGGCAGGAAACCGGGAATGGGAACACAGAATGGAAACAGGTGGGGAAAGTGGTGATAACAAGAGTGGCAAGAAACTAGGAATGGAATCAAAGAACTGAAGCAAACAGGGGTGTTGGCGGTTGGCGATAGCCAAGACGCAAGCAAAAATGGTTAAGTCGCAAGTAGCAGCGATCACCAAAACACAGCTGAAAATGGTAAGTCGTGAGCAGTGGCCCACTGCTTACAGTTCATCCTGGACATTACCATTTGATCCTCAGTGTTGTCCAGCCTCCTTCCCCCCAACAAAACTGCTGAAAAGGCATACGAGGTGCGGAAGCGTCTTCTAGAGCGTGGGCGCCCTTCCCATCCACTTCCTGTATTATCTTGGATCTGGTTTTGGACTCCTCAGGCGCACCACACCTTTGTCACCCTCAAAGAACTTGTCGCCATTATCACAGCCTCACTCCCCTCAATTTCAAGGCTATGGCTGCTGGCGACACCAATCTATATCTTCACACTGACACTAGCAATACTGGGATAGGGGCCTGGTTGGGCAGTGGGCCTACTTCAGAGGAAGCAGTTCCCATTGCATACGGCTCAAGGACTCTTTTACCTGCTGAGAAGAACTACCCCGTCCACAAGAAGGAGCTTCTTGCTATGGTTCATGCGCTCAAACAATGGCGTCCTCTCCTCTTAGGGCTCCCTATTCAAGTTCTTACCGACCACGCTACTCTCCAGTGGGTTTTCAAACAGCCCAACTTGTCCGAGAGGCAGAAACGATGGCTGCTCGTCTTTGCCAAGTATGATCTTTGCATCTCCCACATTCCTGGCGCCTCCAATGTTATTGCCGACACACTTTCTTGTCTCCATGTTGAGGCCTCCCTCAACGCCCTCTCGCTCATCACTACCACAGTCAATCAAGTCTTCCTCAAGTGCATGGCCAATGGATATAAAGGAGATAGCATAATGGGTCGATGGTTGAATGAGGAGGAGTGTCCGTCTAGAGTAGCCATGGTGATGGTGGCTGGAAAGAACGGGAAGACAGTGGAGTTGATGAAGTGGGGAGAGAGGATTTGTGTTCCAGAGGTTGAGGGATTGCAAGAGAATGTCTGAAGAGTGCCACAACGCGGTGGGACATTTTGGTGTGGAGAAGACGATAGAGACAGCCAGGGAGAAGTACTTTTGACCACAGATGAAGAAGGATGTTGGGGTTACATCCAATCATGTCACCCATGTCAAACCGCAAAATCCTCAACAACCAGACCTGCTGGTCTTCTCCACTCTTTACCTGTCACTTGCTTGAAATTCACTGATATCGCCATTGACTTTGTTGGGCCACTCCCCCCCAGTAATGGCTACAGCTACCTTATGGTCATCATTGACCGTCTTACTGGGTGGGTTGTTCTCATCCCCACAGTCACCACAGTCACATCCTCTGCCGCTGCTCAATTATACTTTGACCATTGGGTTTTTGAATTTGGTTTCCCTCGCTCTATTGTCTCCAATTGAGACAAACTCTTCACGGCCTCATATTGGGATCACCTTCATGAGCTAGTGGTACCAAGTTGAAGATGTCAACTGCCTATCACCCCCAAACCAACGGTGCTTCCAAGCAATCCAACAAAACCATGATTCAAGTCTTGCGCATTTACACCAACCATCATGGCAATTGGTGGGCTAGTGATATTCAGCGATTGGTGTTTGCTATGAACAATGCTGTCCATCCTACCTCCAAAACCTTGGCAGCTCAGTTGGTTGATGGCAAGCATCTATCCCTGTTGCCTCCCATTCAGACGGCAGATGAGGAAGAAAAATGGCGAGAATTTGGAGTTGTGCAACCAAGTCAGGAGGAATGGCAGTTGGCAGTGCAGTGGATGGAGTTGGAAGAGAAGATGGCTAGGGATGCGTTGTTGTTGGCGAAGAACTCTCAGGCAATTCAGGCAAATCGGCATAGGCGGCCAGAGGTGGTCTACAAGGTTGACAATTTGGTCTATCTCAACACAAAAGATTTGTGGCATGAATATAATACCTCTTCTGCTTGAAACTGTGGTGACCAGGCCTGCTCTAGGGGGGACAGGAAGTGGTTACCACGTGTGATTTGAGGGTTGAGTCCAATTACGTAAAGAGGAAGACATTGGTGCGCTTGGATGTGGTCTTGGAAAGTATAGTACAGGTTGAAGAAGAGAAGGAGGGGAGACAAGAGAGTCAAAGAGCTGTGGTTGAGGTCTCTTTCCCAACACACAGCCTTTCTTATATACATGAATGAGTGAAAAGACAATGTACGGAGCAACTACATGATATGTCTATGGCACAAAGCAAATAAGGGTACAAGTCAACCAGCAAAGCATACAAAAAGGTTAACAACAATAGGGAAGAGGCAACAGGCGAAAGAAGGTAAGGGTGGCAAATTGTCACGATTGCGCCCCAGCTTCCACGTCATCACACGCTCTATTACGTAAATGCCTATTGAGCTGGACGCGTCGCAACACTCATCACTCAACACTCGTCATTACTTCCTCGTTTGAGACACCCCTCTTGTTTATTCCGGTACATCACAACCATCATATCATACCAGGAGCTACGCATATCTAGGGACATTGCTATCACCCCACTTACACAGCAATACATCTCTAAGACACAACCAACTCTGACTCAACCCGATACCTATCTCCAACCAAGACCTAGACACCCGAGCACCCTCATTCTTCCTCACCCCAATTACGACTCAAGAGACGCCCAACTACTCTGTAGCGTAGAGACACTTTCTATACATAGAAGACACTTTCTTTACATAGAGTCTGCTTCCAAGATATCGCGAGCCTTAGCAATTCTAGAACTTATTTCCATAGCAACTCATGAGAAAGCGCAGCAAGCCAAGAGAACGGCTTAGTCAGTTGGGTGGCGAATATGGGAAAGCTGAGTAAGCCAGTAGGGCTCTGGATGTCTATATAAGTAGATAGTTTTACATAGATTCGAGGATCTCAGCGACCTCGAATACGTCTGACTTGCCTATGAACTAGGAATCGCAAGCGAACAGGCCTATTCAAACTATACTGTCTAAGCCGACAAGAAGTCTTCAGCCTTAGGTTAGTGCAAGTCCCTATCAAGTCCAGGATAGCCTTGCTAATTGGTCCCGACACGTACGCGTATACTGTTAATTGGAATTAACATATACATAGATAGCCCTTCCCCCTTGTTTGAGACAAGAGATACTTTATACTGCTGAGCAGCTATAAGGGACACTGTGAGTAGGACCTGACACAAATATGGCGTGTTGATGTACATTGGACAGCCCTACTAGAAGAACAGAACTAGAACAAGAACAAGTAGCAGAAGCAAAGATGGAGGCGAAGATGGAGACAAGCAAGGGTAAAAGAGTCCATGGGGCGTGCAGGCGCCTAGCACGCTAAGAAACTCAGCCAAGCTCGTTACGCAATGGGAAAGTCCTTATACCATCACTGCAGCTTTCTCCAAGCAATCACTATATGATCTCAACCTTGTCCTATCCAAATCCACCTCCACCACACATCATCATGCCTCTCTCTTGAAGCCTTTCCGTACCTCCACCAGATATCATGGTGATGTCTCCCCCACACTCCCGTCTTCCGATCAACCTCCTCTGCCCCGGGTGTTGCAAGTTATCAAAGAACAAGTTCTCAAACCCAACCAGCGTCACTCAGGGGTACCTCAGGTGCAAGTGCAGATAGAAAGAGAACGGGTTAGTGGCCGTTGGATGATGTAAGAGGTGTGGTTCCTCTTCACTGACAGCGGCGGCGAGGAAGGCGAACGGCAAAGGTCACAGCTATGGGCTAACTGGACGGAAGAACGGCGAAGAACGGCGGAGAACGG